GTAGAGGAGAGGAGGGATGAAGGGTAAAGAAGGGAGTCATGTGGTCCTTTCACTGAGAGAACTGAAAGAGTCTGGCAGGCATTTGTCTCACTGAGAACACAGTGTAAACAGGCACAGCATTTGGAAGGTACAAATTCCAAGATTTTTGATTCAACACTTATTTTGTGCCTGTGGGGACCCATTGCCACACTGTCTGGAAACTTACCTCATGTAGATTATTTATGTTCTTACCCAACAGAGGAAGAATAGTTAAAAGTGGGGGGTGGGAAGGAGAATGTGATAGCAGGTGAGAGAAGACCAAATGATTGATTCAAAGCCACAGGACCCTTGGAGGCACCAGCACAGCCAGGAGACACCTTTTGTGCTTCATCCACTACTAGTTTATTGCAAGGTAACGTTTTGGTTCAGAACAAAGAAGAAATAAGTCCACCAAGAATGAGTTACATCAATTAATGAAATCAACTCAACAGATAGTAACATGTATTTAGTGTCAGCTGTAGGTGGTACCCAAAGTCAAAATTTATTAACTGTTCAAATGTTCAAGCTGTACAGGTGTTTTTTTTTTTCAGTAGTACATACATACAACATTTATATCATAACAAAGTTAATTTTTTTGTAAAATATTTTTCCTTAAGGACTAAATACATGAAATGCTTCAACCATTAATTAAATGCACATTAATATTTGATGCACATTTATAGGTAATATTAAAGACCTGACATAAACACGTAAGTCACACAGTCAACTAAGAAAAGCTATGACCCACATAGCTGCACATTTTACTAATCCCATATTAAAGCAGAATACAAAATTATGCCACATAAATTGAGATGATTTTTTAGAGTCTTTTTATTAGAGGATAAAGCTATGTCCATTTAAACCACCATTCCTAAAAGAGCTACCAAACAATAATTAATACCTTAAATTCAAAACTATAATACAATCTTTTACTACCCAAATCAACTTCTCTATTGGTTGACAGGATAGATCTGAGCCTTCCATAACCTATGCAGTGGCCATTAATGATGACAATTAGCAACAGTAGTATATACACAGTGGCAGTAGTAGAACTGACCAAACACATATTTCAATTGCACTGAGAACAGAATCAATAAAAATAATGGCTAAGACTGCAGTAAATGCCACATACCACACACATTATTTTTTCCATAAAATCTTTACATGTCAAAAACACTTTTAAATACTTTTCAATCTGGGTTTAAAGTATTAATCATAAAACAACTTCTTCTTTCTTACCTCCATGGACTTGTTCAGGCCTGCGCTCACCAGGCACACAGAAAGATGAATAACTGAAAAGACAATTTGACCATTGGCTATTTGCAAAACAGAAGTACTCTACTTTAAGGCAAGTGTCTGCATCACATACATAAAAACATACACGGCAATTTATCATGTGACAGTACAAATTCAACAAGAAACTGAGGTATAACTTTACTTAACATAAATACAAATGTCAGAAAGTATAAAAACATTCTCAGTGTACATAACATATTTATCCATAACTAAATAAAGAACTCTTCTCAAAATTCTTATATATCCAGAATTACCTAAGATTCTGAATGCTAGAAAAAATACTAGAAATTAAATACTCTTAAAATCTTTGCAATAAGGCTCTCTACATAAGGCTACCTTTATAAGGCTACTTCAACTTGGCTTCTGAAAATAGCAAAAATGTGCATCAAAATTCAAGCTATTGTGAATTAAAGAGAGAATTTGGGGATAGTGAGGTGATGAGTTTAAGCAAAATTAAACTTAGGTAAAAGCAAAATTTAAATACATCAAATAATAATGAGCATTTTTCAACATAAAATTTAACTACTGTGATATAAAAATGTTTAAATATGCAAGGTACTTTTTAGTGCAAACAGACATACATTTATCTTTACATAAATAATTTAAGTAGGTAATCTATAACTTGGTATTTATATTTTAAAAATCTACGTTCTGTGACCTTTACAATAGCAGATCTACTCTTTAATCTCAAGTTAGAAATGGTTTAGTGGTTTATCTTTGGATATTTCCAGTCAATGGCTATATAAAATTAAATATAATACAAATTTAAGTCATGGGCCATTCAGTCATTGAACCATTTGGTACATTAAGTGTTGGGCCCTAAAAGCAAAAAATAATTGATAGTACATAAAGTGGAAAAATATACCTCAGATTTTTGCTCTAGTACAAAAACTTACGGCAGCTATGTATTTTTAACTATTAACTAATTGATGCAATGACATTCACTGAAAAAACCTGATTACTAATTGTTCTCAAGTTAAAAATTCCCTTAACATGAAAATAGACAGTATTCATTATGCACAAATACAAAGGTAAATTAATGACAAGGTAGTTTTTTTTAACATTTGACAATTTCTGCTCTCCTTTCCTCTGTCAAATTCCAAGTGACATTGAGAGAAAAAATTCTAATTATTTCCACTGAATAATTTAATCAACTTCTTTAGAAAAATACTGTTGTAAGGGAAGTTCAGCGGGAATAGCTAGTCAACTTTCCAAATTAGATCAAAATACAGGAAACAAAACATGATTCAAAAAATTAAACTATGTAACTGAATAAATAACAACAACAATTAAGACAAATAATATCCAAAATTTGGAAAATTCAAGAGCAAACATTTTGGTAACCTCGTTGTTAATGGTGTATACAAGCAAAAGGAATTTAATGGAAGTTTCCAATGAACCAGTTACTCACTGAGTAACCCAAAAGATCCTCAAGCCAAATTTCCACTTTCATAGTGACATCAGGCATCATCCAGCAGTGGGGTCTCCTGCTGATTACTTCCGTAACAAGCATGAAGGACCCCCAAGTTCTCATTGGCACCAAATCTAGGTAATTACTTCTTTGCAAAAATGTCCTAAAATGGTAACTAATGTGGGGTGGGGAGAGGACCTGGAAGTGTTAATACCAAATTAAGTACTCCTTCATTTGAAAAAAAAGTGTTTATTTAATAATAAACCAAACATGCCAATTCTAGACAAGGCCACATAACAGCCACTGTTTCTGCCCACAGAATGACTCACTCCCCTTGTAATTGTGACTAATTACAACAGCCATTTGAATTCAGAGTAGAATTAGTTTTCTACTTTTTTTTTTTTTTTAAGATATTTATTTATTTATACAAGCACTGGGTACAGTCAGATGCGCGGAAGGGTGAGAGAATTCACCAGAGCCAGAGCGGGGAGCAGAGCAGGCAGAAGGACCGAAGTACACTGCTGAGGGGAGCAGCGGGCAGCAGGAGAGGTCTGCGCGCCATGTGGGACCCTCCCCCGGTGGCCGGGGAGCAGCTGGGGATTGAACCGGTGCTGCAGAGGCTGCGGGCAGCTTCGCAACCCAGCGCTCAACCGCTGCGCCACCGGGGAGGCCCCAGTTTTCTACTTTTGAGTGTACCAGGCCTATCACCAAGTGTTTGCCACAGCAGATTCATCATGTCCAACTGTCAAAAAGGCATGATCATGGTGGCGCAGGGTGTGGTTCTGTGTGAGGTTTCTGAAGACCATGTTATGGCTTTTTCAGTTCCTCCTTCTCAGGGAAACTTCCCTGCCCACAACAATCTCACCACTTCGAAAACAGTGCCTCCCCCAAGTCAAGATAGAAGACCTCGGCCCATCTTGGGAGATGTCAATGCTAAAAATGCTACTCTGGAATCTGAACAGGGAAAGAAAAGAGAATCGACCAGTGAATACCACATGGAAAAAATACTGGAAGAGGTGCAGAGAGACCAAGCTGGGGAGAACAATACCCACCCAGAGAGGCAGGAAGGGAGATGGCAGCACTGCCAGACTCAGGCAGCTGCAGGCTGTGCCTTGACCATAAACACCCGCTGCTCTCAAACCTACCAGCTTCCTATAACAAATGAACATATCAATATAGTGAGAAGGGTGAATATATTTCTTGTGTGTTTTTTTAAATTTTTGAATAACTGCTAGTTATAAATTCTTTTATTTTCAGCAAATTTTGTTTTTTAGGATGACCAGCTCAGGTTAGAGACTTCATATTATCAGAACACTTACTAAAAGCATTAAGCAAAAATAAGAGAATTATAAACTATCAGTACATTACTTTTTATGAAAAAGTTACCATAATTGTCATTACTCTCTCTGAATTTTAAGAATTGGGAATCCTAGTCCTCATAAAAATAGTTGTCATGAATAGTACCAAATGCATTTATTTTACATTTGTAGCAATGTACATCTCTCTTTGAGATCTTTTTTCTAATATTTTTAGTAAATGTGTGACATTACAAATGTGGCAAGCCCAAATAACTCCAGTAGATTTGATATCCACATTTGCATAAAAGATTAACATTCACCCAGCACTTTCATGAGACTTATTAAAAATGTAGCCATTAACCAAAGGCCTTTGGGGCTTTTGTACAAAATTAGAAAACTGTAAGTATTCAGTCAAATACTACATACATTAGCAATATTTCTCATGAAAAAATTGCCAGTGGGACGCTACCCATTTAAAGTTAGTTGGACTACAAAACTTGACCTTGAAGGTGATCTTCCAAACCACGTGGGGAAGTGATATTTACAGAATTTACAGATAATTTTGACCTCTCCAATTATTTTACTGGCATAACTCCCTTGAGGAAATTTCAAAATGATTAGATTCATGGTGAGGGATTACATTAAAAATCTGGGTATAGTACTTGTGTAAAAGCCCCTCAAGTGAAATCAAAGAATGGGTGTTTTATACCAAACAGAGGGGGTTTTCAGAGGACATGTGCCAAGGTGAGGACAGCTGAAGGTCATCTCTGTGTACTCAGGTCCCAACACACAGTGACACAGGCAAATGTTCCTACCGTGTGCTCACAAAAATTTTAAAAAATAAATAACTTTTCCTGTGGTAATGCCATAGGTTAACTATCAAGCCTTGCTTTTCAGATGGTTTCTTCCCCATCCCCTAATTCAGTGATACTTGTACTTCCAGTAAATACTGTGGAAAGAGGTAGACTTTTTCTTTTTTTAATATTGAACACTTCACAAATTTGTGTGCCATCCTTGCCCAGGGGCCATGCGAATCTCCTCTGTATCATCCCATCCCCGTAAATGTGCTGCCGAAGCAAACACAAAAGGTGCAGGCTCACAAATGCTAGGAAACCAACAGCAGACTCACACAGACCCCTGCTTCTGTAGCGATTTTACCAACGTATCCCTAAGACTGAGTAGAGAATGTCAACAGATCAACCAGGGAGGCAAAGCCCACCTTTCTCCATACCTCTAGCATTCTCTGAGTATTCCTGGACTATATGGGTAGGAGAAGTACAAGATCAAGTGGTAGGTATTAAAATAAATCAACCAACAGAAATAAATTATCTCTTTTTTAATTAATTTTTTTTTAATTTTGTTTTTGTGTAGAAGAACTGGGGTGTAAGCCAGAGGTGTGGGAGGTGGGGGGGGGGGTCAGTGAGAGGATTCACCAGAGACAGTGGGGAGTAGAACAGGCAGATTTACTGAAATACACTACTGAGGGGAACAGCGGGCAGCCTGTTCAGGAGACAGGAGAGGTCTGCCGCGCCATAGGTGGGTTAGCTCCCTGGCCAGGAATCGAACTCAGTTGGTAGAGGTGATAGCGCTAAGACTTAACCCCTAGGCCACCAGGGAGACCCCAGAAACAAATTATCTTATCTCTGCTGTCTGTGTGTCTGTATCTTTAGGCAAATGAATACAAATTCAAATTCACTTGGTTAATGAAGACCATCAAATAGTCTTAGAAACTATTAAATGTCTATCAGTTGACAAACTATAAAATTCATCAAGCATTAGAGTCTTGAATAGATTTAGAAACTCACTTCAACAAAATTTATTTCCTGACATGGACAATACAACCACTCAACTCACAATAAAACCTATCCATCTCTTCCTGAAAACACATTGTTAGAATTCAACACCCTCTCATGATAAAAAACATTCAACAAACTAGGAATACAAGAAAACTTACTCAATATGATTCAAAAAAACCCACAGCTACATATGAAAAACCCACAGTTAACATCACACTTAATGGTCAAAGACTGGAAATTGTCTCTCTAACATCAGGAATAAGACAAAGATGTCCACTCTTACCACTTCTATGATATTGTACTAGAAGTTCTAGCCAAGGTAATTAAGCAAGAGAAAGAAACAAAAGGTATCCAAGTTGGAAAGGAAGAAATAAAACAGTTTCTCTTTGTAGGTGACATGATTTTATATAGAGAGATTATTGTTTAATAAAAAATCCTCAAAAACCTATTAGAGCTAACAAATGAATTCAGCAAGATTGCAGAATACAAGCTCAATAAATAAAAAACGCTTGTGTTTCTCTACACTAGCAATGAACAACTTCAAAATGAAAATAAGAAAACAGTATCATTTACAATAGCGTCAAAAAGAATAAATATTTAAGAATACCAAAGAAGAGTCAGAATTGAATATTGAAAACTAAAATATCAGGAAAAAATTTTAAGACTTAAGTAAATGGAAAGACATCCTGTTTTCATGAGTTGGAAGATGTAATATTATGAAGGTGGCAGTATTCACCTAACTGATCAATAATCCCTATCAAAATTGAATGCAATCCCTATGAAAATTCCATCTGCCTTTTTTTGCAGAAGTAGACAAACTGATCCTATAATTCATGTGGGAATCCAAAAAACAAAACAGAATAACCAAAACAATCTTGTCAAAGAAAAAGGACTCATACTCTCATACTTCCTGATTTCTGAGTTTACTACAAGGCTACAGTTTTCTATTTGATTCTGGCACAATATTAAACATATAGGGAAACAAAGGTTCAGATGAATGAAATGGTCATTTTATTTTTGACAACATCATACAATGGTGGAAAGAATTGTCTTTTTTTAGCAAACAATACTAGGGCAATGTATAGCCACACTCAAAAAATTGAATTTGGACCCCTACCTTACATTATATACAAAAATTATCAAAATGGGTTAGAGGCCTGAAAGTAAGTACTAGTACTATGACATTTTTAGAAGGAAACAGAAGAGGAAATCTTCAGGGCCTTGAGTTTCTTAGATATACCATCAAAAGCACAGCAGACGAGAGAAAAATAAATTAGACTACATCAAAAATTAAAACTCCTGTGCTGCATATGGTATCACCAAAGAAGAGAAATGACTGGCCCAAACTGAGAAAAAAATAGTCACAGACCATATATCTGATAAAGGCCTAGAAGCCTAAATATATATAAAGAATTTTTACACTTCAACAATGAAAAGACAACCATTTTTTTTTTTTTTTTTAAAGAGGCATGTATTTTTATTTATTTATTTATTGTTTGTTTGTTTGTACATGCACTGGGTACAGTCAGAAGCGCGGGAGGGTGAGAGAATTCACCAGAGTCAGAGCAGGGAGCAAAGCAGGCAGAAGGACCGAAGTACACTGCTGAGGGGAGCAGCGGGCGGCAGGAGAGGTCTGCATGCCATGTGGGACCCTCCTCCAGTGGCCGGGGAGCAGCCGGGGATCGAACCGGTGCTGCAGAGGCCGCAGGCAGCTTCGCAACCCAGCGCTCAACCGCTGCGCCACTGGGGAGGCCCAAAAGACAACCATTTTTAAAGGGACAAAAGATGTGAAAAGATATTTCACTCAAAGCGGTATATCAGTAATAATCAATAAGCACATGAAAAAATGCTCAACATCATTAGTCACTAGAGAAATGCAAATCAAAACTATAATGAGATGCTACTTCCCACCCACTAAGATAGCTGTTATAAAAAAGGAAAATAAATGATGGGGAGCATGTGGAGAAATTGTAACCCCCACACCACACATCATTAGTGGGATTGTTAAATGGCTCAATTGCCTTGGAAACCAGTTTGGCAGCTTCTCAAAAAGTTAAACATAGTGTTACTATATGACCCACTAATTCCCTCTTAGGTGTATACCCAAGAGAATGAAAACATATGTTCACACAAAAACCTATTGTGAATGAAAACCTACGGTGAGTGTTCATAGCAGCATTGTTCCCAGCAGCCAAACGTGGAAACAATCCAAATGTCCATCAACTGAGAAACAATTAAACAAAATGTGGTATATTCATACAACAGATATTATTCAGCAGTAAACTGAATCAAGTACTGTACTCGCTACAACATGCATGGACCTTGAAAACAAGATGTAAACAATGGAAGCCAGATACAAAACGCCACATAGCCATTTATAGGAAAAGTCCCCAAAGGGGCAAATTCATAGACAGAAAGAAAGTAGGTTAGTGTCTGCCAAAGACTGGGTGAAAGCGAAAGGGGATGGCTGCTAAAGTACACAGTTACATGCAAATGCTCTGGATTAGACAGTGATGAGGGCTGCATAGATCTGTGAACACGCTATATATCACAGAATTACACATTTTAAAAGATACCATGACACATTTTATGGTATGTAAATTATATCTCAATTTTAAAAAATTGCTAGGACCACCTCATATTTATTTAATGCCCTAACCTGCTCTTTCAAAATAACCTAAAGTTTGTCACCAAAAAACACAAGACTAACGACACTGGTTAGTTTAGTCAAATATGCAGTAACTGTGTCTCACTTCCCTCCCTAGCCACTCAGTTGCTTCTCAGCACTTTGCAGACATGCTGTGTCTTCACAGTGTGGTATTAAACAGAATTACGATGTATCTACTAAGCAGAGAGCGCGAGCTAGAAAAGATTTAGAATGGCTAAGATTTAGAATGGCTAATAAAAATAAAGTGTCTACCTAACACCCCCAGCTATCCCTTAGGAAACTTTGGTGGGAACCAGAAAACCATACTTTCTTAGTTGATAAAAATCCTCTTTATTAAGTCACATGTTATAACCTCAAATCTGAATCACACATAGCAGCTTTTCAATAATGTGATCTGATTCTGATCCTCATGCATGTATGCCTTTCTCAAGAGATCTTATTTTTATACACACGAAAAGATCAAATCTAAAAAACATGTGGTTTGGAGAGCGGAGGTTATTCTGGTCAAAGAGGAAGAGGCAGAATGAGGGGCCTGAGGGCATCCCCAGCACTGATAAATTCCTTCAGCTCCACCACCCTCAGTGCCTGAGAAACAGGAATCTTCCAGGTAGACCTAAGGGTGGGGATGGAGGACATCCAGTAAGGAATGACTACGGTAGGCTGGAAGCTGAGGGTGGCACTGCCTGCAGCCTGTACTGCCTTGGCTGGGCCATCTTCCCCACAAGTGAGACCAAGAAGTCAATAATAATAAGCTTTGTGGGGGAACCCAGCCCCTCCAAAAAGATGAAATAATATAAAATAAATTTAAAAACATGTACATTAGGGAACAAGACACCATGAGGATGGCTCACAAATTAGAAGAATGCTCTTGAGATCCTGTGCATATCCATCATGGTGTATGTGGAATATGATGAAATATACAAACCTTTGTTTCATAGAAATGTTTGGAAACCTGCATTAAAAAAAATAGATGCACCATAATTTCTTGCCTGCTATAGTGTCCCTACTTCTGCCTTGCACTGTAGCACAAAAAGATGCACAAATTAAAACACATATTTAAGAAAAAGACACCTACATATGCTCAATTTCTACCTTTTTCAATGGGTTGTTGTTGACTACAAGAGTTAATAAAATGTGCCTTCCATTAAATTATAAGCTAAATCTTATCAAGATGGGGACCATTACCCATTATTCTAATCTTTAAACTGCAACACTTACATGGTTTGTATTAGTTATTCAAAAATATGGTTAAGAATTACTGAATAAAAAAAGCAGATAATAGGCAGTTGATCTCAAAGTAAAAATTTGACCTTTTCACTTCCCCCCTATAGACAAAATTAAACAGCTTTCTTTCATGTGGACTTGAAAGCTAAGGTAATGAATTTGCATTTTTATTTGCATGTGTGTCATATGAAAGATTGGCTTAAAAAAGAAAGACATATCTACATATATGTCTCTCTTCTATATATAGCTATGACCACATATACTCTTCTCTTATATCAGAGTTCAGGATTTATAACTCAACTGCTCTCCAGTAAGAAAGTAAAATTCTCCTGCCCTCTCTATATTGTAGAGATTGAAATTGCGTCCCAGCTGTAAGATCAAGCTTATAACATGCC